CGTGACGAATGGCACGAATTTACCTACTGGCAGCGCTCTTCCATCATAGCTGTGAGTAGAACTAATTTCGTTCTTACCATACTGAGGTTTAAATGGATTAGCCTCTCTTGATGTAGGAGAACAGCCTATAGCTCCTAACCGTTTCCCACTTCTCTGTTCTTGTCTTGTCTCCTCCCTTCCCCTTCCCTCTTCTTTACTTCAATGGACCTCAACCCACCATCGCCGACATGAACCTGAATTGGGTCATGGTGGATTGCTGATTGACCTTGGAGAGTCAATCAGGTATAGAAACTTCTCCAATGCAACAACTAGCTAATTGGACAATCTTACGCAGAATATTTGCCTGACAGCCGGCAGCATTCAAGGAGTAAACAATGCTTAGTTCCTATCATAAGAATTCCAAATACTTTTAAATCAACTTTAGCATCTGAATACGACTCAAGGCTTTGTTTTCCACCAACACATCTTCGCCTAACTATTCAACACCAATAAGCGTTCGTAGAAGTGGAAATGAAGAGATAACCTGACAAGGCAAGTACAACATTGCTCTCTCAGTGTTAATGGCCTGTCAAATTGTTTAACCCATCTTCCCTGCAGAAGTGTTCTGTGCATATGAGAATTTTATTTGCTCGACTGAATGATATGGAGATGTGGAATTGAGCGAACACATCAACACTCCTCGTGCAAAAAATCAGTAGTGCAGGCGGTGAGTAATTACACCGCGTAAAGGTGGCAACTGCATCCCTCGGTAAGCTCCGCATAGAAATCACTTTCGTAACAATGAAGATGAGGACAGTGGCGGCAAAACTACTTGCAGGACTTAGGCAGGACCTTTAGTGGGGCTACTGGAAATAAGCGTCACGTGAGAGACGTTATTCAGTTTGCAAATCGGATTCCAAACAAATTCAGGCAGCTGCAGTCCCTGAAAGGCAAAACACCATTGCCATTTGAATCCATTATTTTCTTAACCTCAACTCTACCACGAAGTTGGCATCAGCCTTACTTTGCTGTCAGTAGACTCCCTCAGCTCATATATGGTTCCATTGTCCGCTGAAAGGCAAATGAATATTGCAGCGAGAAAGTGCTTCTTCTGAACACCCCTAGATCAAACGTGAATGCTGTGCGCAAGGCCGGTTTAATTTTAACGAAAGGGTAACAGCCTCAAGACTGTGCTACCCACTCCTGTTATCAGGGAAGTAGAGCAACCCAAACAATTCAAACAAAATGAAAAATATGTATAACCAACTCACCTGCAAGCAAAAGTCGCCCACTGAAAACGGTCATTGAAAATGGGTAAGAATCGACTACAAAGCATCTGGAAATAAGGGTCCAATGGCCAGAGGAAAGTGTGAGAGCCTCGACACTGTCATCACCACCCCTGGCAACAAACACTCTGCCATCGAAATAAACCCCTGTGGGCCAGCACCGTGATTGTAGCATTGGAGTGATTGTGCACCATATCCGGTCACCTTCACTGCCCGGCTCACCATTGAGGAGCAGCTCTGCAGTATGCAGATCTGAAGCTGATTTACCTATTCCTTCATAACCACCAACGACTAGTTCGCCAACGTTGGGAATGTAGATAGCTCCACTTGCGTATCTAGCCGTTGGCATGTTGGGCAGTGCAGTCCATCTATATACGACGGCAAATTGATAGACTGGGAGTCAGTGTTAACCCAAAAGTGCGCTGCACACCGTGACATTCAGCTTGCCTGCCAATGATGGGATCGTATTCCTCGCAGGAGGACAAGATGATATTGCGTGTTTTGTCGTACCCTCCGAAGACAAAGATGCAGCGCTCACTTGCTACAGCAGAGGCCCCACTTCGCGAACTTGACATTGGTGTTATGCTGTAAATCTGGCCGTTGCACAAATTCACCTTTTCCACCTGGGAAACCGATTTACCACCGTCGTCCTTCCCACCGATTATGTACACATTATCTGCAAGTAGGGCAAATAACTGTTCACCTCCTTCGGTTTTAGCAAAGCAGTGAGAAATGATGGCGTTACCAGTAACTCCCTAACCTTTCAAGACAGCAACAGAGCAATTCCTCCGATACGGCGCGCAGTATCGAGTATTGCCAACATCCTGCAGTTGCGGCAGCGATGCCAAAATGCCATAGGCAGATTCTTCGTCCCAAGCGTGGAAGAAGATACTTTCCACAACGCTGCAAATGGTGTAAAATGGGTTTCTTTGCTCAACTTCTTCCCAGTTCAAATAAGGATTGATAATCTGCAAGATTCATACTTGGTGGAGTTGCTTTTGGCGCTATGGTTAGAAGGATATAAAGAACTGGCACGGACCCTTCGAGCCTTTTTCCAGCTGTCAACCAGTATTTTCCTGTGGCCAGAAAATCATGCAAAATGCAACAAATAGGCAAAATACATCACAACCGCCTCATTGCCCGAGGACATTAACATCACCTACCTGCACTCCTCTGAGAATTTGATATCTGATTTGCCTGAGGTGATTCCAACGATCAGGGTATCAGATAGCCTTTTTAAATCCACCGTTGATAGGACGTGCTCGAAGGAGCTGGCACGAGCACGTCGATCGGCCAGGAGGATTGGTGCATCAAGCCATGTGGCAATTGCTCGCAATTTTGTCTCTTCGGTGACACTACTGAGTCGTAGGGCATTCAACAGTGCTGTGAGGCCTACAACTTCAGTGTGATGGAGAAACACTCTACTGTCACTAAGGCCTTCAAAGATGACCGCAATTAGTGGCACACATTCATCTATGAGATCTTTGTTTACAGTTGCGTTTGCAATGAACCACATTTCCTCCAAATTGTCTAATGTTATTCTAAAAAGGCAAAGACCAACTTCCCTTGGCCAATGTGCGTCTTCACACGTGCGTAGTCATGTCAATAGGCCCACCTGCTTCTCATGTAATCAACACACCATCTGATCAACTGAGAGCACCAAAGATTATGAGCTAGTAGATATAAGCCTGTGACATTGTTGGAGTTCACTTTGGCATTGCCTGTATAGGCATAATCCACCGCAGCCTTCACGATACTAAATATTGTTGCATCCATCCAGCCAATGGAAACCTACTTTGTAGGGAACCTCTTCCATTCAATACGGATGCTTTCATTACTGAGGATTTTGTCCCTAATAAGGGGGAATCGGGTGCATAAGACAAGGCGATGGGCGGCTATCTCGTGCCCTTCCTTCGTCTAAAAGTAGTGGTTTGAGGATTGGGCATGTCTCACTCACGACTATTACAATATCCATCAACTTCTCCTGTTGACGCAGATGATTGAAACGGAAGACGGGAATGGAGCCTGCTTCGACGTTTGTGTATATTGTTTCATCCATGAACCGTATTTATGCTGAATTTAGAGTTGAACTGGCAGATGAGCTGGAGCACGAAATTCCTCTGTCTCACACTTTTTATGCTACTATTTGATCCTTCCTCCCCTTACCACACCCCACGCATCCCACACCCAACACTACAATGAGGAGAGTCCAATCAAATACACGTCGGTCTCAAGTCAAGTCTCATTGGTTTGCTTTGGTTTTATAGCTCACAATATCCAGCACATGCTCCCTATGCTGCAAGAGGGAGATTTTGAGAAGACAGATTGTACGTGAATCAGGGTAAAACTTGGTTGGTTTAATTGACGCAACTGAGTGACTGCTATTGTGAGGCAGCAGTTTTATCTGCTCACTGAGTTAGTGTGCGTGCTGTGCAAATGTTTCACCAAACAACATTTGGGAATCATCTACAATGAGTGATGGGTGTAGTTTATGTGCTGAAATGCAATTGACTTGGTGCAATGCACATCGGCTGGGGAAAGTCATTCACCAGGATGTTTTGATTGAGGTTTCGGCAGTCATAAAATAGCAAATCGTAGCTATCAATGACTCATAGAAGTGCAATGCGTCATAGCAGCTTACGTTCTGTCAAACTGGAAATTGGACGATGTGTTCTGCTTAAACTGGGGAGAAGTTGGAATGCCCGAACAATGACTGGAGGTTGCGTTACATGGAAGCAGGATAGAGGTGCCTCTGATGGAGATAGTCATGTCACGCATTGCTGGGCATGCCGATGACTTCAAAAACATTCTTTTCCAGATCCTTGAGAAGATTGGCGACACTTTCAAGGTGTGTCAGAATTACGTTCACTGCTTCAACTGGCTGATGTCGTTTGAATCACCATTCAGCTGACTCTGTTAGGGAACTCGACAGAGTTCAAGCTCACCCCTAAAAACACCAGTTTATACAGCATAGTTGAGAAAGGAAATAATCAAAGTGACATTGGCCGAACAAAAATGTCCTTTGACCGACAAATAAGCGTCTTGATACACACTTCGGTACACCCGAATGACATGGCCCATCCGAGCCAGTGTATGTTCCGTCAAAGCAATATGGAATGGCGGGAAGACTTCTTGAAAGTGAAAGCGCATTGCAACAAATATTTACCTCTTTTCCTGTCGTGTCAGAAAACGCTTTCCTCTACTTTGCATCGCCTTTCCAATGAAATATCGGCAAAGTTAACTCGGTGATCTGCAGTGCTGAAGTAAAGGGAGATCAAAGTGTATCTTCTGTACTGTGCATTTAAGCTCCACTTTCAACACTTATTTACAATTTGGCATTTCTGTCAAAGCTTGCTTACCATCATGTGCATATGGCAGTCTGCAGCCACTGAAGCGTCTAAGCCGTGATGGTGGTTATCAATTTCTTCCTTAACATAGGCAGATTTCAGCGGCCAATATTGCCACGAGAGGTGCCTTGCATTATCTTGGAATCAGACAATACTCAGACAATAGTAGAAGCCTTTGGCGCTGCTCCCGGCACACTGTAACACCCTGAGTAAAGGTTTGCAATGGGAATGCTCCATAGATTGTCCGTTTGAATGCCATTTTATGCTTCCGTCAAAATTGCTGAGCCTTGAACCTTGGGCAATTGTGGTCCATCGAAATGCCAAAGCTCATCCGCAAGGTAAACAGAACATTCCACAAATCACAGATTATCACTGAAAACTTAGTACGTATGGATAATTCCCACTTTGTAGTAGGTCAAAATAATTAAGGGGCGACCCATTGTCCCTTTGGGAATATGAAAATACTTGCAACACTTGAGCTTTGACCTCGAATAACCAAAGAGGATGGCAAATCCAGCCTATATTTTGCGGAATTAATGATGGTTTGCTGTTGTCTGAAATGCGAATCAACTAACAAATGGCACAACTTTAAATGGGACTTTTGTCTTTACAGACTTTAAAATGGATGCTGTCGTAGCAAATAACACGCAATGTAAGCAAGGCATATCGTAGGTGAACCAAGTCAGACATGAAGCATCGTTAATGGCAGGCGGCAGTCACAGTGCATGTGTGTGTGCATAAAATGCGTGTGGTGGAGGATGATGTTTCTTGAACAAAGAAGGTGTGCAACCTTGGTTTACAATCATTTGCTTGAAGTAATTAAGAGTAAGTGAGCGTGTACAAAAGGTGAGAAGGGGATTTCAAGAATGCAAATAGAAACGTGCGTGAGAAGGCAAATATCTGTTTAGCTACGAAATCCAATTGTGTATTTGGCGGTGGGAAATTATCGTTTTCATGGTGATAATTAAGAAAAGTTCCCGAATCCTTGTAAAAAGAGACAGGTAGATCTGTTGCACAACTTTCGCTTAACAAATAGTCTCTTCTCATTTTGAATGCTGTTGCCAAAAGCAACGATAACGAATTCAATCATTACATGGTTCACAAGAGCAAATAGCTTAATACGTAGTTGTCGGTGGAGGAATTTATTGGATAGGAAATGGATAGAATGCATAGAATTATTTGTGTTAAACCGCCACTTGAGTAGGTTGAAAACGATCGAGGGCATGCGGTCGCTGCCCTGCATTTGTCGCATTTGACATATTGCATATCCGAAAAACACTTATTGCCTACTGTCAAATCTACTCAAATGAATTGGAGTGTGATGGTTGGTCACCCTCACAGCAGTCAAAAATTCTCTCGACTTTTAGTGTTGCTTCGATGTTGTAATGCCAAAAGGCAAAAAATGCGTGGGTTGAGCATTTATTGCACAAATAAGTAGTTGACGTGGTTTTATAATCGCGGTTCCTATCTACTGTCTAGTATTAGTAAATGCAATTTTATCAGCTATCGTGAAAAGGCATTTATCGCAAATGCCAGCTATTCGGTAATGGTGACAGGCTAATGCCCACCCCTCCTCATGCCTTGAACATCGAAGTTGGCATCACAACAACATCCACCACCACTCATACTGCTACTGCAACATGGACAGTTTCTTGCTGCCTTTTACAATCTTCCATAAAAAGAGAAAGCGTTGATTTCCCATTAACTTAGACAAGAAGCTAGACCAAATATAAAGCGTGAATTATTCATATCGTAGAAAGAGTAACGGGAGCAAAATGATAGGTGGATTGGCTTGCATGGGTTATCCACTTTGGTTTAATGAATATTCCCGAGTGTCAATGTTGCATCTTTCGTTTTGCAACAGTGAGATATTCTTCCTTTGACACATTCCTTTCATCAACCTAGCATAGCATTGTTTCTAACTTACCTATTGGCTTTTTTCGTTTTGCCACTAATCTCTGCAATCACTTGATCTTCGCTTTGTTCATATGGTGGAATTTATCGTATGTATGATGAACGAAAGTGGTGAGTTTACTTAAAACGGTGCACGGTGCGTATTTAACAGAGGTCTGATTCATTTATTCTGCACTTGACAATGCATAGAATAGAGCCATTGCAGACTACACAAGTGTTAGTTATTGTGGAAAAAATGGAGACATTCGGCCTTGTGTAAAACTGCATAAATAGGAGCATATGTAACACGTTGGTTGTTTTACTCTTGGCTTTGGTGAGGAGTTACTTTTGACATGGCCACTGTACCACTCCGGGTGGGCTGGCCTTTGGGCTATGCCGGTAGTCCCAATAACTTTGGTATGCCAAATATGTGTATTCTGCCTGAGTACCATGTCTTTCTTCGTCTTCAGGGAGATCTCAGGACTCTACACTTGCGTAGAGGTTTTGAGTGAATGCATTTGCCCCTTGTCTTTTGAATTCAGCTTCCTTAAAACGCGGTGCTGACAACATCGCGAGGAAAGATGTTGCACGCTCTTATGCTCAAGTAGTTGGTTACCTTCGAAGAACAAAGCTTAGTGCTTCGATCTAAATGGCATCAATTCCAGGCATATTTATGTGGTTTTAATGGTGTCAGGTGAACCTCAGAAACGTTTTTTCCCTTGGAAAATGGCAACAACCTTTTTTGGGAAGCAAATAATATGAGTTGTGAGGGCTGCATTTTTATTGATAAGCACATAATTTACCCATGAGATTTGTCATTGACTCTTATGCAAAGTTGGTTTGTCAGCCGCCACACGCCCTCCAGCGTTACATCCAACTACAATTATGGCAGTCATTTGAGATACGAATGGGTTTGTTTAACTGTAACAAAGATGTTAAGCCAAGTCACTCACTGACCTTCGTGGATAACATAATTCCACGTGTTGCAGTACTTTGGGTTTGGTTGAGTTGAATTGCTCAACTTATATTAATAACTGAAATGCATGTGTCAAGAAGCCATCCACATGGGTAGCGATGATGGCCGTGTTATGTGAATAAACGAATGAATTTGTTGGTGGGTGAATGAATGCAGTTGAGGGGTATTGATAATTGCATTGGAACATCCGTGGTGGTGGGCTGTACTGCGACCGACACCATCTTCGATTGGTGTGGAGCTCATATCACGCATTGTTTGGTCGGTATAGTATAACGTTCTCTTCGAGGGAGATTGCCATGGCTACGGATAGAGAATCGCTGCTCGCCAATTTTCTTCAGTAGACGCGTCACTCACTCTTCACGTTCATTACCTCTAAGTCTCATTAGGTGGTATGAATAATTAATTCATGCACTTATTTGTTCCAAATTAAAGCTTGCCAGACTCCCAACCAAACTTGCCAATGCCAATGTTTAGCATGTCGGTTTGTGTGCTGCCCGCTTCCTCTTCTGCAAGCCACGTAGTACTGCATTCTAAATTCACTTCCATCAGTCAACCATTTTGTAAGCAGGTGGACTGTGATGAGGTGGTCAGAACATGCGGATCAGTTCAGCAGAACATACCACACTGCATGGTTTTGATTGGGTTACATCTGAGTGATTTAATAGTCTTCGGGGATAGGGCACATCTTAACCGAGAGAATGGGGGAGGCAAACATTCTCACTACTTTTTCTGCATTTGACTCCGAGTGCAGTCACTGGTATCATTGGCTATTCATCTTCCAACATCCCATTTGACATCTCTGTGCTGTTAACCAAGGTATCCGTTGAATTACCTTCTTAATGCACAAAAACAGCTTTTAAGTAAACTGGTAAATATTTGGCAGTGTCAGCAAGATCGAGAGACAGCAAGTCAAGGAGTATTGGCACGTCGATCTTTCCTTGGATCGATCACAGTAAACTAAAAGTAAAGTGGCGAATAAAGAGAGAGAGAGAGAGTATTGTGGAAAAGGCATAGCTCTAGTCAACTTTAGCAGTGATTGTGGCAACCAATTGTGCATTACTCAATTTCCTTCGCTTGCATACTACTGGAATGGTTTTCCTTTTTAGTAGCATATGTGCTTTTCTGAAGAACATTTACGTCTACTTCAGTGGGATTTTCTGCTACTCCCACCATTGAATACACTCACTCCATCCACATGAGTAATCGGTTTTGTGTAATTGGAGTGTAATTTGCGTATTAAAATGCATGTGATTTCTCAGGGAAGCAAATTGGCAAACCACTCGTCTTCAAGTAAACACTCTCCATTAAAACTTTCCACTGATACGCTTTCATGCCATTCCCACTTTCTCACTTTCATTACGTGTATGCCGGCATATCTATTTTACACATCTGTTGGACGGTCTTACTCGGCACACCAACATGGAATGCACAATGTAGCCAATGCATAGCAGGACAAGACGACTTGCAATATGGGTAATGTGATCAAAATCAGCCCATGGAAGTTTCGTCCTTTCTTCCATTTACCTGCAGTTATAAACTCCTTCATCAATGCAACCGGTTGGATGGAAACGAAACGCGTAGTAATAATGGGAATTATAGTGAGGGTGGATATGCAATATTAGGAAAGCAAGGTTAGTATCATTGTCATGAAGTAAAGATGATATCTGAAGCACGAGCTTCGTTTAGCTTGTTTCACAATCAAAATCATTGCATAGTTTGGGGCCTTGGTAGAAATGTCACTACAAGATTGCAGATTTTGCCATCGCTTTCTATTAAATAGTTAATATTTCTATCGCAAAACAGAGCTGGCTTATGCATCTAAGCCTTGTATGCACGTGGTTGCACGTTGACTCCATAAATGCATCGGACATGAACATCTGTGTGGAAGTTAGAATCACATTAATGACACGTCATGAAGGAGACTGCGTGAGGATGTTATAAAATAAAAGCAAGGCAATTCAGGCAAGAGTTTACTTGTGGTGAAAGCGAGAGTAAGAGTCGGATTAGAGCAACCTCAGTTAGACGCACTCAGAACGTGCCTGCTTCATTGTTATTATTTGATGTAACTGAGTCGCACATGAATCGTACTGATGTTGGAGCCACGCGAATGACACATTGTGACGCGGATTTAGTGAGGTCTGTGACACCCCCCACTCCCACTGAGGGGCACTGCGTATCCACACCAGCC